AAAAATACGCGAGCAATTAGCCAGTACAACTTGCATCATCGACTCCGTCTCTTCTTCTCTCTCTTTTTCTTTCTTTTCTTCGTTGGAAGAAAACTTCGTCATATTCGTCATACGAAAATGCGAAATGCGACGGCTAACAAGCTGCGAATGAGAAAGAGAGAGAGACAGAAAGAGAGATGAGGAGAGACAACGAAGAGAACAGACAAGACCAAAAAGAAAGAAAGAACGAAACTAAGGGGACACGAATAATAAAATGAAACGGAGAATTTAATGAAGAGAGAGAGAGAGAGAGAGAAAAGATAGATACAGAGAAAGAAAACAAAAAAAGAAGAAAGAAAGAAAGAAAAACGAAAAACGTACGTGTAAGATACACTAGGAAACGCAAGATTGTTTCCGCAATCCACACTACTCAGCTCTCGTATACGTGTACGTAGGTGCAAAAAAATATATATATATATATGTATATATATATGTATAGTAATCTGTACGACTGCCAGGACGGACGTACCACAACACGTGAAATTATAATATAATAATAAGGTATAGCCGTATGTATCCGTACACACGTTCGTACCAAAGATAGAAGAAAAGGAGAAAAATACAATACAAGTAAAATGTAAAATATTGTTGAAACACTTTTTTGGAAACGTTTTTTTCTTTCGAAAACATTTATATGCTACCAAGATTCGTATTAATAGTGAGAAACGGAGAGACTTGATGTTACATCGACAAGTTTTAGTAACGACGTGCATACGAATACATACGCGTTATTCGTTATACGTATATATTCAATATAGATATATGTACGGTATATATATAATAATATATATATAATGTATTCACAGGTGAATCTCATATGAAGGCAAGCCAAGGCCACGACATGAGACGTGCAAATTAAAAAAGGTAATAATTATTAAAAAAAGAAGCAAGTAAAAAATTCTCTCCCAAAACCGCTTTCCAACCACAACCAAGCACAACCACAGGCAAGGTACGGGCCTTTGTCAACGAGACAATCATCAACCAGTGAATATGTGGCGCATTACCGTGATTATTATATATATGTAATAGTAACAATTTGAAAAATCTATATATATATATATATATGTAATGTGTGTATATAGATACATATATATTACGTATGTGTATGCATGGTATATATGTATATATATATACGTTATGAAGTACGAAAGATGGGTTAATTAAATGGTAATGGTGGATGGATTTGGAACGAGTGGAACGAGGCGGCAGACGTAGAGGGGATTAATCAAAGTACGATTAATAACAACGTGTGGGACTCAACGACGAACACCGTCGAGGGGTGATCGTTAATATGATTTGTTGTTTAACCGTTAATCGTGGTCGAGATTAATTCGTAGCAATCGGTTAAACGAATTGAAACGGCTAGTAGCTCGATCTCGATTCAATGAACAAGTGGCGAACGAAACAAGTGCTGGCTTGTGTCAATTGGATACATTAATTTGATAAGTTGGATAGTTGGATACATTAATTTGATAATTTTCCTCTTTCTGTTTGCAAAATGAATTCGTCGAATTATTTTCTTAGCGCTTAGAAACTGGATACAGACTCTGGATAAGTCTAGAATTTGTCAAATGAATTTGAAAACTTCTTAGTCCCGTGGTATTTTCCATTTATGAAAGTATCTCAGACTTTGGATAATTCGTCATGCCACGTTAAACGGTAGTAAATTAAAATTTCAAATTAGGTGTCTTCTAGTTAATGTTGTGTCAGATAATAAAAAGTCGAAGACAAGCTGGAATTTTTCGAATTTTCTAACGTTTCTCTTTTGTCTCGTTATACAGTGCTTCCTGCTTGTGGAATATTCCACAGATTTTGGTTAATTCGTCATGCTACATCAAACAATGAGAAGCCGAGAGATTGTAAATCTAGAATTCGCACAATGAAAATATCGAAAGATCTCCTCTCTCACTCTCGCGAATAGTTTTCTACTCATAAAGGTAATAAGTTCCACAAAATTTTGATTAATTCGTCATGCTACGTTAAACAACGAAAAGCTACGTGACATCGTTTCAACTATCTATAAATATACACTACCACCACGAAACCGTAATCAACACAGAAACAGAAGGAATCGAAAATAAAAAGAAAAAAAAGAGAGGAGAGAGAGAGAGTGGTGCGCTGTGCATCAATCACCCCCGGAGAGCCTCCTAACTGCTGAAAGTCTCTCCCTCCCCTCCCCGTTTCGTTCGCGAGACCACCCTCGAAAAATCCGCGCAAAAACTACTTGGCACAACTCTACTATGCACGACAACAAAAACTACCCAGAGTGTCCGTAATTATCCAGTGTCTCTGTACGAGAAAAAGCCAGCACTGATGCGTCCGCAGCGTAACATACGTAAAGTAGTCATCTCGAGACTTGCTTGCAATCCGTTAATTCAATTGAGAATGGAGAACAAAAAAAAAAAAAAAAAAAAAAAAAAAGAGAAAAAAAAAAAAAAAAAAAAAAAAAAAAAAAAAAAAAAAAAAAAAAAAAAAAGAACAATGTCGAACGAAGAATCGAAAAGAAAATGGAAATATGTATGAAAGCAAAGAAATTGTCCGCATTGATCATGCTCCAACTGTTGAGGAACGAATGCTACAAACGATGGTGAAAAATAATTTGTACGGTGTGGATAAAAATCGCAAATGACTCGAAGATCGATGGAGAGTAAAACACAAGTAGAAGGGGAACGGAACGGCGTGATTGTAAAAAGTATTCGAAAAGTGTGAAACGTTGAAAAATTAGGAACAACGATGAGTCTCGAGTCAGTATAAATTACACCGATATATGCGTGCGAAACTATAATTTATTAAGAGAATGTTCTTTCACGCCGATGGGCAAAAAAATGATAAAGTAATTTCTGTCATTTTCCATTAAAATCGGCAAACTGAGAATCCAAGGGGAAGAAAATGATTATTTCCATTTTTTCGCTCCCAACGCTGGGCAATTGATGAAGAGTGCGTTTTAACGTTAAACTAAATTTTCAATAAAAAAAAAATTTCTCAAATGATACACTGATTCAGTATCGCGAATGGTGGCAAGCAATTCGCTTTTACACATAATCTGTGTTTTCCTTTTTTTTTTTTTTTTTCTTTTTTAATATCATTGATACAAAGAACTCTCACGAGATATGAAGATGGTAATACATTTTTATTTGTTATAACACAAATTCCATATATATGGTGCAAGTGATAGTGACGCTAGTTTTACGGTGGTCCGGAAGTGCCGGAGATAGTCACTAAATAGTGCATGTACATTCTGAAGCGGAAATGGGCAAAATTTGGCCAATTTGAAGTGCAACTTTTGACAATTCCTTGATGCCTTTTCTTCCTTTTTTCTTTTTTTTCTTTTTATTTTTATCAAATAAGAACAGTATCAAACTGCCTAAACGTGTGTTCAACGAGAAAAGAAAGAAAATTAAATTTCTATGTAAGCAATAGAAAAAGAAATACTGTTTCTAGAGCAACAGGGAGGTCGAAAAAGATACATTTGATGAAGATTATCTGTTCCATCTGAATCGAATATTATCAATGAAATCAAAGTCCGTGATTCTTATAGCTAATTTCATCTAAAATCAAATTGAAATTAACTGTTCTCTGTGTCCTTTCACTATTCATTCTTTTATCGTTTTAATGATCTTTCCATTAAATCCTCAGTCAAATTTAAAATATCGTGACTTTGCCCGCTTCCGTTTCCGGGTTCACCTTAAACGGTACGGTGATTTGAACGCATACGAGCCAGGTACAAAGAGAGGTACCTAAAAAGATATGATACAAAGGGCAGTCTTTCCTACGTGACTTATCTACTATGTCATTACATATAAGTACATCAGTGTCTACAATCACCATAGGAAAGTGTAGTCTCTAGTAACGCTAAAAAAAAAAAAAAAAAAAAAAAAAGAAGTAGAGTGCACAATCATGTTTGTATCGCTGGAATTAGTGTGAGAAAAGGGGAAGAGGGGGGCGTGTCACGTAAATGGGAGATGAATATGTACTATGTTACACATCACGATTGTCGAAAAATGCGGATGGAGTCGAATTTTACCCCAGAGACACGAGGCCGATGTTTCGTCAAGTTTCTACAAAGTGGGGCGTGTTTCAGCAAACGAGAGGTTCTTGGTTTGGAAAAAACTATTCTGTGTCGTTAGGAACACATTGCGGATTGTTATTCACAAAATGATGAAAGGGTCATCTAACGAGAGCGTGACGATCAGTTGATGTTAGTGTAGAATTAATGACAAGTTTCCTAATTATCTTGCAGAGGTTCGAATATTCGTCACTCGACCTTTTATTTTCAGCAGAGTAATCTTCTGTCGACGCAACGCGAGCGATTAAGTAGAAACTTTTCCATTAACTTTGAACTGGTAATTACGATTCGTGTCGAATCGAACGATTTTCGCAAGCAAACGTGTACGCATTGTTTCGAACGAAACTGAGGAGAAAAAGAAAAAGAAAAGAAAAGGAAAGAAAAGACAAAAAAAACAACCAGAACGTTTTCATCTGCAACTGAATGGCTACAACGTGAACAAAGGATACATTCCACGGATATAATTGCGACAATAGCCGGCTCTCAAACTATGAACAAAAAAAGCACCATGCAACATTTAACGCTATTTCGATAGGATACGCCACTCTGCGTTGGTACAGATTGTGATCTTGATCAGAATTATTACAATGATGATGATGGTTTGTTTCGCTGGTCACAGTTGAAAAGGCTCGAGAGAGAGAGTTGAGCAAGAGACGGCGAAAAGACTGAGACAGAGCAAAAGAATTCCTTCAAGAATTTTCGACGAGTGGTGGGTCAAGCATGACTCGATCGTTCCGATTGTTCTAATAAGCGTTCGAACGATGCGCTCGTTGATGAACAAAGGACGAGATAGAAATGCACGAGTGTAAATTTGAACTGGAGATGACACGATCCCTGTGATCAAATCCGCAAGAGAAAAACTCCACAGCGTTTTGATTAGCCACGCAGCAAGCACCGCTTCCCACATGAGACGTAAAAGAGATGTGTACAGATTGTCTATGACAGTGAAAACGGGATACACTGAATGCACGAAACAGAACGCTTCAGCTTGGATGATCGTCATTTATATTTACAAACTTGTTTATAGACAGGGTGGTACATCGATGGGTGGATGGTGAATAGAGAATGATGATGTGCGTTTCCATGGGTTTCCAAACGAAATGATATTATAAAGAAAAGAAAAAAAAAAAAAGAAAAAAAAGAAAAAAAAGAAAGAAAGAAAGAACAAAAATATATGTCTCATGCCGTTGTCGAGCCGATCTCCGTGATACGAGGTACTTTAGATAGATATACAAAGAGAGGGGGGGGGGGGCTGGGGGGCATATATACGGAAGGAGGGGTTGTGATGATGACGAAGTGATGGTCACATGACATTAAGTGGTCACATGACTTACCACCCAATTGGTGATTGACAGGATTACCGGGAGGCAAAGGCCTGGCGTCCTGCGTGTCCCCAGGCCCTGACGAATAGAGTGGAACAGACGTCCGATCGTAACAGAACTGATTGTTCTGCATGTCAGCTGTGTTGATAGTATTGGCGGTCGTGTGGTATATCATAGAAGAATGTTGTTGGTTGGAGAAGTGTTGTTGGGTATTCGTTACGTTGTGTTGATTGTGAGTCGGTGTTGCTGGGTTGCAACCCGAATGTGGATGACTAGGTGAAAGAAGAGGTTGTTCCTTACTCACTCCGCCGTAGTGCCGGGGCGAACCTACCCCACCTGCAACATCAAGCTTGTCTATCTCCTTGTTCCTTGAAATCTCATAGCGAGAACGTTTATAAACGCTTCTAGCCGGCTTCCCTCCGTGCTCCGCCTCGAGATCAGTGAGAGAGACACATCTACTCTATGGTATAGCTTCAAGGTCAAGTGCTCGGTGATTTTTCGTTTTTTTTTTTTTTTTTTTTCATAAACCGAACGCGTATATCGAGTGCATATTACAACGGATGATTTAAATCGACTTGTACTACTTGTCATAAATTAATAAAATATTTCGATATATTCTCTTTCATATTTTTTTTTTTTTTTTTTGTTGGATTCGTCGCATTTTTAATCGTAAGAACCGTAACGGAGAACGATATCGAGTAGAGTTTCTTTTCTCAAATTTGCAATATAAAATTCGATCTGGATAATTATACTGTCATTAAATGAACATGACGAAATATACTGATATTTAAGAATAACTAACATCTATACGTATATCTATCTAATCTAAACGTACATGTTCTGTTTTTTTTTTTTTTTTCTTTTTTTTAATATATAACAGAGAAACACATATTGGAATCGATTATATATACTTACCTACGCGCGAATAAAAATATTTATTCAAATCACACCTTTCAATTTACATTCGTGTTACGTACGTTTATTATTCGTATTCAACTCTTATACTCGAGATTTTTAACCACACTAATATAAAAAAATATTGAGCATCTCTGACGACACGACGAAGAAAAACCACAGCGCGACATATCACCGTCGTAAAATCCTTCGATCGTCTTGCACAAAGTACGAGTTAAAGTTACTATTTATAATTGCACAAACTTTCTCTATAAATGTACGTAAACTCTTTCGCAAATTTTACGTATTACGATCACATGGAAGAAAAAAAAAAGAAATCTCACAATTAATAAAGTAATCGAAGGTATTGAATGCACCACTGCGCGACCAGTAGCAAAAAGATATACATACATATATATACACATATACATATGTATATAAAAAAAAGTCTCGTTGTAAATATTCGTAATATGCAGTCGCAACGTGAAATGAGAAAGAGAATTTCGAAGAGGATTATCAACCTACCTGGCAACTGAGTCGTAGCTGAAGGTGTAGAAGCGGTCCGTTGCAACCGATATTGGGCCGAAGGATTCGGAGCACCAGGATTAGGACCAGGTGGAAATTGGCTGGCTGTAGGGGACGTAGGTGGAGGAAAGGTTTCCGCCGGAAACGGTGATTGCCGGGCGGATGCTGGCGTCCCTGGCGACGGCATCGATCTCTGCTGCTGCTGCAACTGCTGCTGCGCGGTCGGTGGTTGCTGCGATCTCACCTGGTTAACGGTGAATAATCTCGGGGTATTACCATAGTTGCCCTTGATGACAAAACGTGAAAGAAAAGTTAAACGGTCGCACTCGTTACAGAGTTGCAAACAAGAATAGAAATCATACGAATAGAACTCTCTGAGAGGTAAACAGTGAAACAATTATTCTGAGAAACCACGCGCGCGCGCGCGCGCGCGCCTCCCTGATTAAATAAAAATAAAACTTAAAAATACAAACGAGAAACTACGCGGGCAAGCAGGCATTTAGGGCAGCTTGTCTAATTAAACGACTCCTGAAACGTACTTGCGTCACTCGTGGTGACAACGGCTGCGGATGGGAGAACGACAAAATACCAGCCGGGGAATGCGGCGAGAGTCGCGCTGCCGCAGACACTTGTTGACCACTGTTAAAATTACTGTTTACAATGGGGCTAGAAAAAATAAAAACAGGAAAACAAACGAGAGATTGTTAGATGTTCGTCGACAAATTATTAACTTTTTACTGATCATCGACTGACTTACTGTTGTGATAGCGTTGAAGGATGAGAATACGAATGAGCGAGTCGATGACCGGAAGGCATTTGGACGGATCCCCCATAACCTGGAGATACTTGTGAATCTGGGACACTCGATCGCTGAGGACAATTTCGACTGATCAGTTGGCACGTAAAACGACGATTGTACCTTCATATAACTGAGATTAATTTTACAATTAATTACCTGTAACGATACATTTGGCGCAACAGTATTGTTCAGAAGGTTGTCGATATTGTGAATTCCGGTGGTAATTTGGTCCGTAGCTGTAGCATTGGAAGGGATGAGTAACTGTTGCTGCTGCTGTTGTTGCAGCAACCTCTGCTTCAATTGTTGCTGTTGCTGTTGTATCATTTTTGTCCGTTGCTGTTGTAACTGTAACTGTTGCTGTTGCGTGAACTGAGCAGTCGTCTGCCTAACGCCCGGTTGCGTGTTAAACCTCATCCTCGGTTGTTGTTGGTATATCGGTGGTGGCTGGTAACTATGACTCGTCGTTACAGGTGTGGTACCCAACTAAAATTACATCGTTCGTAAAAGAATATTAATTATTGCGAGCGTCACACACGCAAGCGACAAGTAATACCGAGAATAGAATCAACAGAACGGCTGATGTTAAAAATAATCTGTCGATTTGCACGTATATTATGATTATTGCGGACAGATTTTATAAAAATACGCGCGGAAAGGGTATCAACTTACTGCAGTAGAGTAAGCTGGAGGCGTGCCAGGAATTGTTATCGTGGAAGACGTTGGATTTACGGCAGTCTCGCATAACATCAACGACTTCTGTATCGCGTTAATCGCCATCTTCTCATTCAACGCGTTGTTTTGCGGCGCTTCGATTACATCTAGGAGATTTGCTATCGCAGACGAATCTATTGAATAAAAATTATTATCCATAATGGTAATTACTTTCGCTGTCACGCGTACTGTAGATTGTTTCGCGAATACTCCCCGAATGAAATGTGTTAGCTTTGTATCGCCTAGCGAGTATATCTTTCAAACGAAGCGTCATTAAAAGGAAGCGAAATCACAAGGTTTGTAATTAACAGCCGTGACAGCGAAGGTACAGAGTTATATATATTATAAGATATACAGTAAGTGTAAAGGAGTGAACAAACGATTGTACGATTAGGCACGGTTCATGCGGTTTAGTGACAAGTACCAATTAATTTTTATACCTGTGATAGCTTCATCTGGCACGAATTCGATAACTTGATCTAAAATATCGGAAAGATCAGGGTCTGATGACTGATTGTCCCAATTACTGGGATCGGTGCTTGTTTGACGATACTCTCCGCTGCCCGTAAATTCCGAATCCATTTGACCCATTTGAGGTCTTTGTTGCTGCAACCCGATGGAGCCTCGTAATTATTTGTTCAATTTCTCTCATTCGTTATAGTTTTCACGCTGCTGAAAACGACTGTTACCTGACTTAGCATATGAGTGAGGTAGGTATTGGTTGTTGGGCGAGGTAGTTGTCTCGACTGGCTTTGGAGAGGAGTACGTGCGGAAGTAGCGGTAGTCGTAATCGTATTGTTGCCACCAACCGACTGCATGCTGCCACCTGTCCAAGGTTGCTGCTGCTGCTGCTGCTGCTGCTGTTGCTGCTGCTGCTGCTGCTGCTGTTGCTGCTGCTGCTGCTGCTGTTGTTGCTGCTGTTGCTGTTGCTGTTGCTGCGATTGTGGCTGGGACTGAGATTGTTGCTGCTGCTGTGGCTGTTGCGGTTTTAAGCTGCGAAGTAGCTTATCCTTGAAAGAAATAACAATGTCAATTAATTATTCAAATCTCTGGTTTCATTTTAATTTTTATGATACGTAAAATAATCGAGTGTACGGATAGATGTGTAATTACCTGCGGAGTTGCCGATATCACAGACGCAGGTATTGGTGGGATAGTGGTTGGCTGGGGAGGTTGTTTGGCCAACAACGAGGCCAACATCTTGTTTCTCTCCCAGAGTTTGCTGGTCGCATTGGTGGACGTACCGGAAGAAGACACTTGATGCGATCCATCCATGGGTCGTTTCGCGGCTATGTTCAAGTCACCATCTTCGCCGGGTCTCTTCTGACCAACTTGAGAGGAACCACCGAGTCCGACATTGTCGCTCGATTGAGACGGCGATGGCGTCGTGTTGCGAAATCCAAGGCTTCGCAACAGAGAATCTTCCTCCCGCGTTTGTGACTTGCACTGTCGAATGTTTCGATATTAAATTTAAAAAGATTTCACGTCGTGATCAATTTTCGTTCAACTTTACACTGGTGTTATTATTACAATTCCAGAGTAATCTTGTCCATAGATCTATATAAATATCGAGACTAACTAATAAGTTTGCCACTACCCACCTGTTGCTCTTGTACTTTCCTCTCGTCATCTTGATCTTTCAGAAGCTGCTGCAAAAGTTCGTTCCTCTTTTTCAAGCCAGCGCGAGCCTCTTCGTCTTCGTCGTCGTTCTTTTCGTTTAATAGCTTCAAAAGAACGAGTTCAATTAAGTAGAATAATGACACAGAGCATGGTATAATTACTATACGATAGATTATCGCGATCAACCAACAGCTTTTTTTTTTCAATTTCTGTAGCAACTTATTATCTACTATCATCCGTTAATATAATACTATTATCCGTAATTTGTTATTATTATTGCTTCCAATCGTTAAAAGAATTGATGATCGTCTCGTTACAAAGAAAAAGACAGACGTATAGATGGTTGATCACGTTCGCTACAACAAAAGGCACTTTTTAAAGGAAGAGAAAGAAAAAAAAAAAAAGAAGAAGAAGAAGAGGGGGAAAAAAAAAAAAACGAAAACAGAAAGAATATATAGCACGAAGTCAGTGGAAAGCAAGTCCGATTGACACCAGTCCAACGCCAAGTTTGGAATTCGCTGATGCCAATGACCAGCTTTTGTTTACCTGTAGCAGCATATTATTCCCAAGCGACGATTTCGAATGCTCCATGCTCGATTTCGGCATGTTGCTAGGACTCGTGCGCACTTTATTATTATGCTCCGGATGAAAATCGTCCTCGTCTTGCTGATTCAACAAGATCTTCAATATCCGATGTTTATTTTGGCTCTCGGTATCGTTATTCGCATTGTCCTGACTGTCCTCACTAGCACTAGCCCCCTTGGTCAACAAGTTTCTCAGTCTACCGGACTCGGTGGACACAACACTGTTCTGAGTTTCGACAACGGCGCCGGCGGTGCCAGTTTGACCGCCAGCGGCTGCGGCTGCGGCTGCGGCTGCGGCTGCGGCTGCAACGGCCGCTGTACCACCAGCGACGGAGGCCGCCGCGTTGTTCCTCGCGTTGCTGGCGGCTGACTCGATGGCAGATTGGTTGGTGGTCGAGCACCCGGTGGCGGTCTTCCCTTCATCCTGTCTCTTGGGCGTCAATCCGGCGGCCCCGTTCGCGTTAACACTACTAGTAGCGCTGTTGGTCAACGAGGACGTCTGTGATTCCTGAAGCGGACTGAAGGGGAACGAATTACTGAAGGTGTGAGCCGCGTTGCCTGACGTCGGGCTGAACGCGCGCAGGGGACTACTGCAGTGAGGCGCCACCGCCGTATTAGAGGAGAACGTTGCCTGGGGACTCGGAGATGTCGGGGCTGGCTGGGAAGATGGTCGTGAGTTTGGTGGCCCGCTCGCTCTCGATTCGGGCCTATCTGCCCACCCGCTGCTACTATCCAAGTCCCATGTGGAACTGGGGAACAGCTCGAATTCCAAGTCCATGTTCCCCGAAAAGTGGTTGAACGGATTACTGCTACTTAGCGACGGCAGGGGGTTGCACGACTCGGCCGCGCTGAACACTATCGAGTTCGACGATGCCGCCGCGGCGGTACCGGCCGCGTGCGACGACGTACCGGCCAACCCCCGGCTACTCATACCACTCACTTGACCGTTCAGATGCGCCACGGACATTAGCGGGCCACCCACGTTATTGTTATTATTACCATTATTGTTATTATTACTATTATTCGCACAACGGTTACTAGAGTGTCCAGAGCACACTTTGTTGTTGGAAAGCTGACCACCCTCGATAGGCGTTAAGTCATTGTCCCTATCATGGACAAGAAACAAAACAACACACGTATATATATATATATATGTATATATTTGCCGTTTACCATAAAAAACACTTTTTTCTGTTTTTTTCTGTTTTTTTCTTTTTTTTTTTTTTTTTTTTTTTTAAGTTTAAAA